AAATCAGTGTGGGACCTGATCCACGGGGAGGGAGCAGCAAAGGAGGAATAGCACTCCTACACTGGGACACCCCTCTTCCAACAGAGAGGTCAGTAGGGATGGAGGGGGAGCCACCGAGGCTTGGAGGACTGCACAGCAGCCGCTTGGCTGAGACAATGGAGAGAAACCAGCACAAAGGGTCCCTGCAATCCCAAGCCCCGGGCACAAGCCGTCAGGGGTGGGCCAGGACGGGCTGGCTGAGCCCAGGCAGAGGGCTGGGGCTGACCGTGCAGAGGCAGCCTCAAGGGACTGCAGTGTGCTGTGGGTTGTGGCTGGTAGTGTATACAGAACAGCATGTGGTTGATAGTGTATATAGAACAGCATGGGCCTCCATAAAAAAATGTGCACTGTTGGTGCTCATTGAGGGAAGGTGCCCAAAGCATCGGGCACAGCCATTGTCTCCACAGGCCCATGGCACCATTGCTGGCGCATTCTCCCGAGAAGAGAGGCAGGACTCAGCCATAGCCATCATATTTGCTGGTGCATCAATCCCAGGCAGAGGCGAGGTTGAAACCTGAATCCATGCCCAGGGGCTCTGCCACTTCACAGGTGGGACTGAGATTTGTTTACAGCCCTAAGCAGAGGGGACCAATTTGTTGAACAAGTGCCTTTATGGACCCACACCTCTAAGACAAATGAGCAAGGAGTGGAGTTCTGGCACACAGCAGGGGCAAGTGCAGGTGCAGAGTTTTCAGCAGATATACATACTGTACACGGATGAGGTCAGTGTATGACCAAGCAGTGCACCATGGATTCAGGTGTCTGATTGCGTAAACACTATAGTGGACCTTGGTGCCTGACGTTGGTGGATCTGAACTGGTAGCTCTGAGGGCACAGAACTTGGGAGACATCAGAGCAGAGTACTGACATTCCTGCGATTAAAGCAGGGACAAGGGCAGCATCAACAAAGGGTACCTGAAGTGCTCCAACCCCGCCTACAGCACACTGCAGGTCAGAAACACATCTGGAAGCCTCCATTCCAACAAAAGGGGAACAGCCCCCGAGAGGGCTGTGACAACCACAGTGCTAAAAGAAGGCCCTGCTCAACAACCAGGGTAGGTTCTGATCACCACAACACTGGCCGCACCCCTAATCAAAGGTATAACAGCCAACACACATGGAAAAAAGACATGGCAACCATCCGTACTACAAACAGACCTCATGAGAAAATTATTAGATGCATACTGTCTACACAGTAATGCATTCTCTTGAAAAACAGCTCTTCAGGACCACAGTAGCGAACAGATACTGCTTAATCCAGAGAGCCAGAGAGATATAAGTGAAATAAAGAAGCAGAGGAACTACTCCCAAATAAAACAACAAGAGATGTCCCCTGAAACAACAATCAATGAAATAGAACTTAACAGTCTATTAGATCATGAAATTGAAAGGGATGATAAAAGGATGAAGAAAATAAGAGAGACTATGAATGCAGGATACTGTAAAAAGGAAACAGAAAATATAAAGAGGAACCAATTAAAAAGAGAAAACTC